AAAGAAAAGTGATGATGCGATGTAGACAGTGGCCACAAGCAGGAAAGCAGCGAAGCAGACAGAGTGCTATCGGGACTACGTGGAACGTTCTTGGTAATATCTCATATTTTTGTTATGTATTTAACACTACATAAGCGAAAATGTTATATGAGTACAATCTTTATGTCAGTTAAGTAATTGATTCATTTGATATAGTACAAAGTACCACAGCTGTTTAATTTGGTCGCACTCTTAGTAGGAAAAATGTTGTATTAGAATGGATATCTATTTATTTGAAAGAGTTTCAATACTTCAATACTATTTATCAATAATTTAATAAGCAAAATATTTCCAAAAAGAGTATGATAAGTATTTGACAATACTCGAAACAGCTGTGCCCTGCCAAATTTGAAGCTCAGAGACAGTGCTTTATATTAGAATGAAATTATAAATCAACTGTAGAATAATTGAATTAATTAATTATGTTTTTATTTTTAATTGTTAAATTTTAATACTATTCTGTTTGTAGAGGCATTATTTGTTGCATGATTTATTATTAATAAATACCAAAATTTTGTTGTTTTATTTCACTACTTTTCAAAATATTCTTCTATTAAAATAAAATTTCCTATTGAGAAACATGGTTTCTTTCATCAGAATTGACTGTAAATATCAAATTATATTTATTTTAATTTATGCAGTTGGATGTTTGAAGAAAATATCATTATTCTATTAAAATTAACTTACACCTTGCCTTTAAATATCTGAGAGATGCTCAAATAATTTTAAATAATTATTGATTATATATCAATGAACCAATTTATTGTAGAAACCTTTTTTTATACTTCATTGATATTCTGATTGAATAATTACAACCAAAATATATACTATTTATATTAATTTTTATTTAATTTAATAAAACTGCTGATAATGGAAGAGTTTACTTTCAAATATATGAAACACTTATGGACATATATATAATTTTGTTGGATCCAAATTATCGGTATCGTTTTTAGGTAAACGTTGATCTTGGAAAAAACTTTTTAAGCCCATAATTAAATATTTTCCAATAAAGAAGAGTGTTTCAAAAATAGCTATTACTGAAAAACCTAAAAAAATTGATAAAATATTTCCAACTGTGCCTGTAAAGAAACAAAGTTAGATATATTCAAATTTTATTATTAAAACAAACTTACTAAAATTCTCATACCAAGTATTACCAATAACTCGTCTATAATATTTTGCATAGGGTTTTTCAAAATAAACATTTAATACAGATATATTTTTAGTATCATTTAAATTACTTATATTAGCTTGCCTGAAAATATAAAATATGTCATATAATATTAAAACTTAGACAAAACAATATTTTACTCTAGTTCCACTTGATATCTTTCAATTGGTAAAGACATCAACGAAACTTGGTATTGTACATCATAACAGGATGGTTCACATTGCGGACAGTAGAGTGCTTCTTCTGCTTCACGTTCAAGTCCTGGTATAGTTTCACGTTTTGTCAATACGTTACGCCACTTAACTAAAAATAAAATAGTTTTATTTTTTTATTTAAATATCTGATATAAAAACTGATATTTAATGAATTTTTGAAAAGCAAGTATAATATGGGTTTCTGTTTTTCCTAACCTATTCTTATATCAACCCCCTTTTTATTTTATTTTATAAATTTTTGTCATTAAAAACATTTTATGATTCTCCAGTGTTTGTTTTTAGCAAAATGTAGTTTGCTTTAACTTCATTCACATCTGCCTACTAGATATTTTTTGTTCTTTTGTCGTTTAAAACATATTACATATAATGTTACTCATGTCTTTAAGATTGGACATGCTAGGGACCTACTTTTTAAAGGATCCTTAATAGCTACAGAACCTCTCCTTAAAGAGTATTTTAAAATATTTTCAATCAATTCAGACGATTAAGCCATTCGAGTTTTGCATGGTAACAAATAATTGGATTCTATAAATCGGATATATAACGTAACCTAACAGAACTCTGATAACTTAATATTGCTATATTTATTCCATTAAATTAGAATATATTTTTATTAGTGTGAAGTCATACATCACTAAAACACTTTCTCTATTTAAGAAACTTACAATTATAACGTCGCAAGCAGGAAACATGTATCAAATTGCAATAGACCACACCATCTATACGATCCACTAAGTCCAAAGGCATATAAAATGGTAGACAGCGGCAGAGAGCTATAATACTGTTTATTCGACAACGGGAGATACAATTTGCAAAGCTGTAAGCATCTCTCAAGATTATTTCCGAATTGGTTGCTTCATCGTTGAATGCACATTTCCTCTAAAAAAATAATAAATTCTTTCTTAATCCATTATAGTAACTATAACTTCTTTAAATATTAAGACTTACAGTTTTAGGACTATAAGAACGTAAGGCGTCATCGGCATCAAAAAGTCGTGCATTAATTGATAAAAAAGATTCACTATTATGTGTTGGGAATACTAATTGAGTACTTCCAGACGATATATCCGCATAGTCATTTGGTCTATGCAGCATTACAATATAGCCATCAATATCTAGTATTGCACCGAACGTTTCCCTATCGACGGTATTATTGAGAACAACAGTCAAGCCAGTATCAGGACTAGCAAATCTAGTTGTATAATTTCGTTGCTTATAACTGTGAGATATAATAAAAACTATACAATTTTAATTTAATTATATACATATGTATAGATGGTTGTGTGTATATCAATATCTATATGTATATTGTATATAGTAAAAACATACGAATCATTTAGATTGAATGTGCAACACGGTCCGAACATGGTTAAACTCTCTTCAAAGGCAACTTTACTGAAACATTCAATATTTTTCTCCGCCAATTTGCATTCCAATATGAAATTTTTACAGGCTGGTGCTAACTGAAATGAAGGTAAACCTAAATTAATGACTATATTATTTTATGTAATTTTTAAGAATCTTACCATTCTCATAAATCTTCGGGTATCATAAAAAGCATCATTATTCCATGCATCATGAGTATCCAAGAAAGCTTGAAAGTTGGTTAAAGCTTCAGTGTTAATTGTTTCTCCATGTTTAACGTAGAGATTGTTTAATAGTTGAATACTTTCCAAAAAATAAACTACTGAACGATTCGATGGATCACTTTTATGTCTAAAAAAAAATGTAAAGAATTACTTTCAGTTTAAAAAAAGTTTTGTGCTCCAAAACTTAAAATTCAACCTACAAACCCATAAGCAACTTTTTTTAATTTTTTTAAAGTGGTCTCAATATTTTATTAAGTGTCCGTTAACCTACAAACAAAGAATAAGTTGAGGTAGTCCCTTTACTAAAGTAGAAAACAAAATACGGTCTGAAACGATGTATAACATGAATAATACTCATTCCAGACTTTAAAACTGGAGTATTTTAGAAAAACTGGGAGCTATCAGTCAACCAAATATAACCAAACTATCCATACATCTGAACTCTACTGTACACTATAAACATTTTTAAAACAAACCACGCCAAACGCTTCACCTGACCTATAAACTTCGAAAAAGACTTCAAAAACATGAGAGTAATTGAAAACCCAATTTATAGGTATTCTATGCTTTTCATGATATGAGAAAAAAATTGTCTAAAATAAAGTAAGTATCTCTGCTAGTGTTAATTGCATTTATGCAGAAATTCTCAAGAACATCGATCTACGCTCAAAGACATCATAATCAAAATTTCTGTCTGACATCATGAGAAATTACCGATACTTAGCCGCTTTGGACCATAACTGAGGGCCAATGAGCGTCAGCGGGTTTATGTCTACTTACACAAAGTAAGCTAAAGAGGGTCAGTAAAGAGGATTAGCGGATTTGATCTACTTAAACGCAGCCAATCTGCTGATTTTGTGATCAGCTACCTTTCCATTGCACTTCTAGCAGTATGTATTAAATTACTTTAGCATTTGATACTTCACTGAATCGAAGTTTCAATTCAATGAAACCTCACAAACTCCAAAGATTTAGATGAACCTATAGCTGCACTGATCAAGTTTCACTACTGACTTATTATATAGATAATGGGTTCCAACTAAAATAAAAAACTGTCGGACTTTCGTTGAGCTAATTGCAGCCTATTTCACATTCTAGAAAAAAGGTACTAGCTACAAAAATCTATAAACTTCTGGAGCAGAAAAAAGTCACATGGGCTACTATAGTTATATAGAATGCTAGGTCATTCACATTATTGAATTTTTTACTAAAAAGTCAGAGTCAAAATAACAATGTTTTTGTGTCACAGAATACACTCGCAAATATAATTGACAAAAGAGTTGATGTAGGAATATTGGGTAACAATTCTCCCGCAAATTTTTGTATGGTAACACAGTACCAATCTGCACGTACCACCCCAAGGAACCTAAAGAAAAAAATTGGTTGAATCAGATTTCAAATTCCGGAGCACCATGGACCAATAGGTCTAAGTGGATCGTCGGTATAACCTGCCCTAACCTAAATTCCGTATACTTTTTATAAACAATGTATATAATTTATTTATATCATTGTAGCTACATGAACAGTTGCATTCCAAACCAAACCAAACTGTTTAGTAAAATTGAATCTATCAGTTATCTGAACGACATTATGTATTTATAAATAGAATAATCTCATGAATCTCATGCATTGAAAAAATTCGCTGAATGTTTAAAATCTCATCACATGTTCATATAAAAACCCATTTTAATATATATACCTATGTACTTATCTATAAATATATATGATATATATGTATATATCGTATGCCAATATATATACAAATATCATCAATCAAACTGTATCCTTCAACGCACAAATGTGAATATAAATTTTAAATGAAGAACAGCTCCAAAGCACACGGTATGAACATCAACTTAAACAAGGAGCAGCAAATAAGTGCATAGATAGAAACAATGATACTCGAATCATACTCACAATTGATTTGCATATGTCATAGCCTCTTGTTGGGAAATTCTATTGTTGGAGCAAATGGAGACAGCCGGAAATGGCACATTTTCGACTGCATAAAGTGGATCGTGTAAATTGATAGCGAAGTATTGAGCTACGAATTGCTCCCAGGTAAGCAGAAGCACTGTCAGCAAAGCAAACAAGGTTGTCGCATGCACCGCCAGCCAAATTAATCTGCAAATACAATAAGGAAAGATGATGAAAAAAAAGGTTAAAATAAGCAAACAGGGGAAAAACAGAAAAACAGAAAACAGAAAAACAGAAAAAATGGCATAAATGCAGTTCAGATTAAATTGACAAGATGTTGCTTGATGTTGCAGCTGATGTGTGCAACTCCACATACAGGAGTTGCATAAAAAAACAAACCCAAATGAAAAAATGTGTAAAAACGAAAGGATTCACATTATTTTTTCCGCACTTATTTGATATAAAAATGCACATTCACCGATGGGCACAAATGCAATTCACAAACTTACTTCTCCCAAACGCTGTGCTGTGTTATTATCAAATTTGCATAGCCGTGCAAGGATATGTTGCGAAATAAATCTGCCAAATCATGACACAAGGATGCATGTTCAGATTGCTTACGTTGACTCTGTTGCTTGTGCCGAATGCCTCGCATCCATGTTTCTGTGGGATTCTTAATCCACCAGACAGCGTTGGATGTTGATTTAATATCAACTACTGTTGCGCGAAATTTTAACGACGACATGTATGATTTACGAAGATAACTGTGTGCTTAAGGATAACAGACGTGATGGATACTTCAGCACAGGTGTGTATTCCTCCGTGCTGTAGTGCACTAATGCGAACGATTGATTGGCAGCA